TTGACAAAGCAGTTTCAACTCAAGGTTCACTTAGTAGATGTTCTGGAGTTTTGTGATTCTGTCACACAGTAGACTACCTCACTAGCAGTGGAAATGTAGATGTTCAAATGTCCAGCTCCAACTTGTCTGCAGAAAAAGATTCTGTCAATGAAATCTCTAGAACAGCTTGTAAATGAACCTTGTCAGCTGTTGTTTCCATAGTCAAATGTTAACTTTGAAGCCGAGCCTTTAAACTCACATGGAATAGAAGTCATAAAAAATGGAAATTTAAACACTGACAGTTCTATGATCAGAGGCTCTAGAGAACTACTATTGTGGTGAGTTTGTTTTGTCAGTTGGAGTATTGTATTTCTTTTATCTGTGCCCTGTAAAGTGACATCAATGACTACGCCAAGTTGAAATCTGGGAAACATGAGTAGAGATTTAGAATGCAAACAGTTCTGTAAGAGGCTGTGCTGCCGCTGCTGCTGCTGCTATGGTTTTTTTTTTTTTGAAGATCCAGTTATACAACAGCTCCATACACTCACCCTTAATTTACATTAAGAGGGTTTGTGTTAACTAATCTCTGGTCCGGCATCTCTTGTTGGTCAAGGCCTGTAATTTTTGGAGCAAGTATTACTCATCACGTCCCCGCTCCTGGGCTCATCTCTGGACTGGACTTGTATATCTAAGGATATGAGACATATCAAGCAAGTGTTGTTTAAATGTTAAGCCATTTGGAATGAGGATTTTAACCCCCAGTACTTCAGACACATAACACCAAGCACTAAGATACATCAGTTCACACTATGAAGACCTGGGAAGGTGCCTCTGTGCATGATGCAACACATATACACCCATGCTTTCTTCATCTTTTGTTGCTATTATATGCTTCTATCTCAGATTCTGTCCAAGCAAACCTCCAGGCCTGTGTCCCCCTACCAGCTTCAGTCTCAGTAAACAGTCATAAACACACTGTCCTTTACATGCAGTTTTGATAAGGCACAGTTTTGCACAGTGACCAGTAAATGTAAACACTCTGCCAGCATGCGTCATATTGATTCTTCACAGTTTGGAGATCTCCGGGTCTGCCATCCAGACTTAGGAATGAAATAAACACTTGTCGAGAGACAGCTGGGACTGTCTGCTGCAGACCTTTACTGGATCTGACACAGTTTCTCCAGAGCTCAATGACTCACCAGCCACTGTATATTCACAGGGGACCCTCAGGGTTCTGTTCAGTCTGTTTGCTCTGTGGAAGATCACATAGTTTGGGCAGCGTTATCTTCATCTCCTTATTTTTTCACAGTCTGATGCCCCAGCAAGCACCTGCATGTACACACCAGTACAGTGCTGGTAGGCTGAACCACAATTTGAAAATGCTCTATTACAAGTAAGTAAGGATACAGTATTTAGAATGCCCCATAACTTTATGTTTCATATTATGTATTACATTATTAGATTATTACTAATAAAGTATAAGCATCATTTTAAGGATGAGCTAACTAGCTATTTTATTTATTGTTGGGTAGTTTATAATAATGTGCCATATTTTTAAGTAGCACAAAATGGAAAGAATTAAAGGTGCAGTGTGTGAGATTTAGTGGCATCTACTGGTGAAGTTGCAGATTGCAGACAGCTCTCACAGATGTTTCACAGCAATTACTGTAAAGGTAGGATAAACTGTAGTTGGAAAACAAATGCAGTTGGCTTGACCAAGCAAAAGTTAACAGCAACTCACTTGACCACAGTGGGTTACTCAGCACTGGCCATGTTCTAGCTAGAGCTATGAAACAAAAGCTTGCATTTAGGTTAACTTTACCTGACTAGCAGAAAACAGGCAACTTCTGTGTCATTCTGGAAGCATTTGTCCCTCATCAAGTATTTCCATGTTTGTCCTTGTCTTGTGCTGTCCCCTGTTCTAGTTTTTCATGTCTTTGCTTCTTTGACAATGGTCATTCACACTGTCTTTCTTTTTCTTGTGTTATATAACTATGATCCTCCATTTCTTGAAATTAAATTCACAACAATGCTTCCTTTTGTTTCTAATGTTACTTCATCATGCAAACATTTCCAGATCCAAGCTGCTACTTCAATGTGAAAATGCAAAATTCACTAGAGCCACTGTGTGGTTTGTCTGTTCTGTGCTAGATATAAGATATCTAGATGTAAAAGGCTCATTCTAAGAAAAAGAAAATGTGACATTGCTTTTGTTCTGGTGATTACACCTTAATGAAGACATAATTATGCATACTATAGCCCATTTCTGATAAAGATTGTTGTTTTGTGATGTTCCCTCCCTGATTGTAGGACTTGTGTGTGAACTGGTATAGCAGTCATCCACCTATAGATCTAAAGAAGCTGTATTTAGTGAGAAATGGTTACATGGTTTGTGACGGCAGCCCTCATCCTCTGAAGATCTGTATGATAATTCCCGAATGCCACATCATACAGTCTCTATGGCTGCAAGACTCATTAGTGCCATCACTCCCATCTCATGTTTGGATTTATGATGATGCATAATGGAAAACAAACGGGGATAAAAAACCATTGCTCTGATGTACTTGCACATTACTGCACTGTGTTTGGAGATCTCTCAGTAGACATCACTGGGTGTTGGCTTTTCATGCCACACTCAAGCACATAGTGTCCTCATTATTTATGTGTTGATTTGCGGTTGTTCATGCCCTCCAACATGCAGGAATACCAGCTCAGTTAAGTTGTGTTGTAAAAAGGACAGCAAAAACTGCAGGCAAAAAAACCCCCAAAACAACTGAGACAGAGAGCAACAGGTGAATACTCAACCATGAGCAGCTGTGATTTATGTGCTCCAAGCATGTTCCCTCATTGCCTTAACTCCCTGGGTGAACTGTCCAAAAAATCCTCTTATTCCAGCACAAGGAGCTCTTAGTGCTACGAGCCTTCAGGTTTGCCATAATAAAACGCACATGTGCTTCATTTGCTGAGTCAGTGTGTTCTTTTTCCTCTATTTGTCTTATGGCACTAATCTGATCTAAAGCCAGTGTTTCTGAAGTTTTCCAGTTAAGAAACCACCAGTGGAGAGGTGAGGTGGAGTGAACGAGGTGTGTGTGTGTGAGAGAGAGCGAAAGAGAGAGTGCCGAAATGACATAGTGGAGCAGGCCACACATGTAATACACTGCAAATAGAGTAGAACATGTGCACTGGGATAGGGTGTGGGCTCACGGTTCTGAGAGTGAAGTGTGTTTCCTGTGGTTTTCCCTGGTGTTAGGGTTAGAAACAGATTACAATTAATGGCAATGGAGCCATTAACAGTATGTGTTGTACAGTATGTGAGAACAAGAGACAGACCCACAGAAATACAGTATGTGTGTACAATAGCGTATCTGTGTGTGCTCTGCCCAAGGCTGCAGAGCCTGCCCAAAACTCTGCCAGCCTTTTGGCTGGGCGCCTTGCACGTGAGTCTAGCAACAGCTGGAAGATGAAGGGATAAGGAGGAGACAAGAAATGGAAGACGGAGCCATGGCAGCACAGGCCGGTTCCCAGGCTCCAGCCTCTAGAGACCCCAGAGGAGAGGAAGCAGGGAGGGGGGTGGGGGCGAGACTAAGAATCCTGAAAACAGCTGCACTGATGTCCTGCCTGCAAACAGTTCTACATAGCTAATCAGTGACCCCATGATGTGGCTTAAAAGTAACCTGATTACAGGAAATAGTGTCTTTTCATTGTCTACAAAATCAGTACAATTAAAGCTGTTATAGGCCACATTTTCTTCAGGTGAATGATGAATAATAATGTTGCTGTATATGTAAATAAACAGATGTTTGCCGGCACAGATTTATATCATCCTTTAAGCGATAATACTATGTTAAATGTTGTTTACAGATTGTTTCTGCTGCCACCAAGTGGCCAAAAAAATCTGTTAATGCAGGTTTAAGGGCTTTACAGTAACACACCAAGCTGATGATTGGCTGTCAGCCACCATCGATGTCTGTCGGGGCTCATCTTCCTGGTGTGTCCTACACCGTTGGCACGAGCCAGACCCTGTCGGCGGCTTTTCGACCGATTCAGCATGTTGAAACAGCATCGAACCAAAAGGGCTTCACTGACCACTCTGATTGGCTGTTGAGCTTAGTGAATCAATGCATGAGAAGAGAATGGTTCAGGAAAGTCCCTTCAGCCTGTCACTGTAGTATCCAAGATTTCACCCATTTAGTGCTGTTTCTCCTTGTTTTTCACTTCTGCCAACACAAGGGCAGAGAATGCCAGTAGCATTTGTGACTTCTTATCAGACATATTCTCAATTAGAAGCAGCTATAAGCAGCAGCTGTGTTGAACAAGAGCTACTTTGTTTACAGCTTGTATTTCCACTGTCTAGCTGTTCTTTTTTTCCCTTTCTCAGTGGTGAATACTGATATAGCCACCTGCTGGTATTTCTCTCATGCAGGTGCTGAAAGTACGTGCTAGTTGGTCGTTAGCTGTAATCTGTTCGGTGTGAAAAAATGTCATCTTTTCAACCCGATTGGCCCAGAGAAAGGTGATGTGAGGCAACGCAACAGTGGGCCTTTGTCACAGCTAATTCTTTTATTTTGGCTTGATGTGTCTCTGCCCCAAAATGCAACTGACTGCCAAGAGGTGGAGAGCTCTAGAATCATCCTATTTGATTCTTTTTTTTATCAAATGTTACTCTCTGATTTATAAATGATCATCTCTGGGACACATCGCCAAAGCTTGCATGAAAACACTGCAGGTGTCTATCTGTTGTTGGGATTTACAGTGTCAGTGGAATATTTATAATCCATCTGAAGGGGCAGGACACTAACATGTTATAAAACAATGATGGGATTGTAGAAAACTTTACACATGTGATGGATGACATCAAGTAACCCTGAGCAGGTGTCTGTTATATTGTCCAGCTGGCAAACACTATGTTCATTTTTACTCTTCTTCCCATGTTTATTTTTCTTCTTTCACAAATCTATGCTCTTTTCTTTTTTGTCTTCCAAGTCATGCATCATTCATTTTATGTTTCTCTTCATCCACAGGGCTGTGGGACATCATGTGGAAAATGTGACTGCACAGGTGTGAAAGGAGCAAAGGTGAGATTTTGTTATTTGTACTTGTTGTCAGTCAAGCCTTGCGTGTTTCACTTCTTCATTCAGAATCACCTTTCTTTTAGTTCACAGTTGATGCAAAGTGCCAGAGTTTTAAGGTCATAGCAGCTGTGACTACGCTCTGACTAATGGGGTCATTTCAGTGGGACAAACTGAAGCTGGGCCTGGGCGTAAAAGCTGTGGATGGGGCTCAGTCACAGAGCCAAGACCAGGACATGGAGCAAGATTAATTTGAATTAGAGCGTGACCGGACACACAACTGGGCTGAAGGTCTTATTCTCATCAAATGGAGGGAAGCTCTCAGATACAGATTACAGTGGTAGGAACAAAAGCCATGAACCAGCCTTCGAGTAGTGAGTGTACAGTCACTGACCTGAAACATCAAACACTGGAATAAACGGACTTTAGCAAAAATAGTTTAGGCGTAACTACATTAGAAGGCCACGTACACTCCATCCTTTTTCTCTGATTCATTGGATTTAATGATAAAAATCCCACAACACATAGACATTAAAGGTAAAGTCTCATGGCTTTATGTATGGTCAACAAATCACTAGGCACAGGATAAGTGATATAGATAATGGACGGATGGTTTTATGGAACCATAATGTTGACTATACAACATAATTATTTTTTTTCAGTGTTTTGCAAACAAATTATGGGAGGATTTTTACTTCATAAGAACTTTAAAATTAAAATAAGGGAAACAAATCACTCTTTGGTAGCCTGTGACATGATTACAACCAGTAGACATAACCTTTAACTAGCTTATATGTATTTAATTTGAATTACTACTGAATAGCTTGTAAATTTCCACCATAGATCAATGAGGTCTTATAATTTATATTTTTGTATTTTGTATTCATCTTGTTATGAAAAGTAACTAGTAACTAAAGCTGTAAAATAAATGTAGTGGAGTAAATAGTACAATATTTGCCTATAAAATATAGTGAAGTCAAAGGATGAAGTAGCAGAAAATGAAAATACTCAAGTAAAGTACAGATACCTTTAAAATTGCACTTAAGTACCTGAGTAAATGTACTGAGTTACTTTCCACCACTGTGCACTGTGTATTTCCGGCTCAGTTACAGCAGACGACTGTAGAGTAGTGCAGCAATCCAGTCTGTGATGAGTCACTCAGACAGCAGCAGTAGCAAAACACTCATTTCACCCAACAACAACAGATGTAGTGACTGTGTTATGAGGAGCCTGGCCCAGTCCACTGTGGATTCAAAGCACCTTTGTTTTGAAAGTTTCTGAAAGGCGCCAAACAACCTCCCAGAATCTCCTGTCAGCTTAATTTCTGATACTTCCTGTGGTGCCCCTATGATGATTCCCATGGTTCAAACTGCAGTTTTTCTCCAGACTGATGGGATTCAGATTCATGGAAAACAATAGTTTCAGCTGCTTTATTACTTACTAACGAGTTGTGCACATCACTGTCTCACCCTTGGCAGCTCAAAGTACATTGTGAAGGTTACTGGAGGACGGCTCTCCCCCATGAAGCAATGCTGACACCTAGTGGTAGATAGTGGAAATAGCACATCAGACTTTTTCAGGGTTTGTTTTAAATCACTGCGAAGAGCACAATTTGTTGTCACTGAACATTAGGAGCATTAAAGCAAATAAAATGTCAATTAAAATGCAGTGCAGGCCATTTTTAGTTTAGAAATGTGCAAAGAAAAAGAAGAAAAAAAAACATTTTGAAGTTTGCTTTGAAATTAATATACATACAAGAACATTTATAAAACTTGTACTCACAAATTATATTGTTTTCCAGTTATATTTAATTTACATGATACTTTTACAGAGATAATGAATGATAAGCTCTTGGGTAAAACTGTCCTTGTTGGTCTGAGTTAAATATATACTTTGAATGCATCAGTTTAGACATAGGAATCTGTGTTTGTTCAGGGGATGTTTAAATTTATGTTAGATTCACAGTAATGTTAATATAACATTGGTTACATACATAGTAACTTTCTCATATTGCCATTTAATACTTATTCTGTTTCCACTTACATTTGTTTTTGGTGTCAAACTGATGCCCGATGAATTTATGAAACCATAAAATCTGTTGAAAACAACATTTGTGACTAAAACTGTCATCACTAATCTCAGTGAATACAAAGATTGTTGTCCTTGTATAAACTTGATCATCTGTGCGTCACAGGGTGAGCGGGGATTTCCTGGTCTCCAAGGTAACATGGGATTCCCAGGGATGCAGGGACATGAGGGGCCTCCAGGGCCAATAGGCCCCAAGGTCAATATACACACACACAGAGCAAAGTTTAGAGAAACAAAAACAAACTCGAGTTTATTGGTTTAAGAACTAAATAAAACTGATTCTACAGCATTTTCATTTTTGGCTTTTTAGAAATAATTATTTTGCATAATGATGATGATTTGTCAATTCTTAGGGAGATGTGGGCGATCCTGGGGCTCCTGGACTTAAAGGAGTGAGAGTAAGTAATGAACCACTAAAATTACTTCTATTTCATAAATTGTTGCTTATGTTTAAGGGGTTTTATTGTCATGTTGCTGATATGGTTGTGATCTTGCAGGGTCTTACTGGTCCAGCAGGTTTCCCAGGAAACCCAGGACTACCAGTAAGTGTCTTTCATCTGCCGTCATATGTCTTATCCAACTTGTGCCATGACATTAAGTGTTTGGCCTAATGTGCCATTGAAGGTCACTGTCTAACTGCAAATTGTCACAAATGGTCTATTTGTGTATTCCCATTTTTAGGGCATCAATGGAAACGATGGCCCACCAGGTTCACCGGGTATCCCAGGATGCAACGGAACAAAAGTGAGACACTTTTAAAAACAGATTTTTGGTCCACTTTTTATGTCAGCCCCCGAGGACCCTTCTGATTGTGTTGTGTGTATTTCAGGGAGAAAGAGGAAGGGACGGGGCTCCTGGTTTTTCTGGTCCTCAAGGTCCTCCTGTAAGTAAACATGACACTCCAAACAATTTTTACATGACATATCTTAAAATGAAAGCGTTCATCCTGCCAGAGTATGCGACATGTAGAGATCTGTTTTCACTGTCCTCTCTTCTCAGGGCGTCCCAGGACTTCCTGGATTGAAGGTCAGCTGACATTTATGAAGCTATAACTTCTTATATGTAAATACATTTGTCAAACATCACAAGTATGCCCCAATCTATCAGTATGATGAGACGTGTCCTTTTGTCCCCTACAGGGTGAACCTGGTGATGTGAATGGCTTTGTTCCCCTGAAAGGAGAAAAAGGATTCCCTGGCACACCTGGATTACCTGTACGTTGTGTGTGCTTCTGAATATGCACACATGTATTTATGTGTATTGAAAGAAGAAGAAAAACCGGTAAAATGTAAAATTTGAATTTTGATGTAAGGTCTTATCCACATGTTTTTTGCTTTTCTCTTCCAGGGACCAGTTGGACCTACTGGAACTAAAGGATATCAAGGAGTTCCTGGCTATCAAGGGGCCAAAGTGAGTAACTGTACTCTTACAGTGATGGACTGTTGATCATCCTACAGAGACCATGATGACCCACCAAACAGTCTGGAAGAACACAATTTTGACAGAACAATCTCTGTAGATACTGAACTTTTATGACCTAGATAAATGACAGTAGATAAGGTACTAGTTTTAACAATGTGTTTGACTGACTGATAACTGTGTTTGACAGGGAGATCCTGGCCCCCCTGGGCCTCGTGGACATGAGGTAAGATCAATCATGCTAAAATAAGTGTTACAACATTTTTATAAAACAAAGTCCACCACCCTCTTACTTGATCACGTAGATGTGAGGTCATAGGAAACCTTTTGCTTCCCTGCAGGGTGACAAGCCATCTTTTGAGGGTATGAAAGGCGAAAAGGTGAGAATTTGTTTTCATATTTATTAAGTTTCTTATATAATGCATTCACTTTAGAGGTAGCTGGAACACTTTACAGCTCAGTAATAGAGATCAGAATGGGGTACTCCCATAGGGTTTTCATGTGAGAATCAACAACATTTCACGTAAAGTACTGATGGTATTATCTTAAAACAAAAGAGGGGAAGTTTGAAAAAGAAAAGAACTTGTAATTTCAATATTAGTTTCTAACTGTGGTAACTTCCTGTGATTTTCTTTTGATTGTGAAATGATTTCACTGACCCCGAATGAGCAACGGGCCATTGAAAATCAGTAAAAAATTTAACAGCTGGACATTGTGTTAAACCTATACATTTATTTATATGGACAACAATGAAACAATGTAAATTGCCATTTTTGGGTGTGTTCTTACTAGATAATTAATTTTTCATAAATTTTTGTGACTAATTGTGAAAGCATTGCTCTTGTGAAAACGAATTTGGCCGTGACTGTTTTTGCTGGGATTGTTGCCACCTCTGTGCAGGGTGATCGAGGATTCACTGGCCCCCCCGGCCCCCCGGGAGAATACCAGGAAGTGGGCGGAGTAAATACAATACATATACCTGGACCACCAGTATGTGCTCAGCTCTTTATATTTCAGAACAGAAACTGTGCAACCTTTGTGTATAAATACATCATTATATGCCTGTTTCTATGTAAAAGATGCCTTGGATTCTGTTATTTTCTGAACGTGTCTGTGTTTTTTATTTCTAAAGGGAGCCAGAGGACCAACAGGAGAGAAAGGAGAAAAAGTTAGTATTTTGCTTTCAATTGATGAGATGTATGACTTACAGTACATTAATGTGGGCAATTTTTTGAGATGCCTGATGTCCTTTGCAGGGGTATTGCAACCCACATATCAATGGTTTGAAAGGTGAACCTGGCCCCCATGGTCCATCTGTAAGTGGCAAAGATATGTATATATATATATATATATATATATAAATACTATAAAGGTATATTGGTAAAGAAAGAAGCTCAGTACTAATTGCTATTGTAAGATTTTTATGCATGTTCTTCAAAATTTGAATATAACAAGGAAAACAAGCTTTTTACAATAAAAACTGTTTTACCTACGTTTATGGGAGTATCAATTTTGAGCTTATGCAGGTTTAATTCACTGTATTAAACTCTTTAATATTAATCCAAGTGAAAACTAAATTAAAGTCTGTTTTTGTGATGTTAGGGTAAACCTGGCAAGGATGGAGAGGATGGTCCAAAGGTAACACAAACTGTTTTATCCAATTATTTTACCATCCAGCTGTTGTTTCCTTTTGAACTGAAATGCTACATATTGTCATACAGGGAGAAAAAGGTTTTCCTGGAGCTTCTGGATACCCTGGTTCTCAAGTAAGTAATGCACATTTTATTTATTCTACACATGCAGTATTCAAGGCTTTAATCTGAAACTTACATTTTGTGGGAGGTTTGATGGTCAGAATAGCTAAAATACTTTGTTTTGTTTCAGGGTGAAAAGGGAGAAAGAGGACCACCAGGTCACGTAAGTGATCTCCCCCCACCACACACACACTCACACACATTTCCTATTTACTTCTATGACTCTTTCTTTCTCACTTACTCTTTCACATCAGCTACAAGGGGGATAAATTCTAAAAGCTACCAGCAGATGTCACCACATGTTCATTCAGTTAAAATGTGAGTGCAGGTTAAAGGGTGAAACCACCAATGTGACCAAAAATTACATCAAATTACATCATTTGTTTAGGGCTGTAGCTTCTATTGAGGATACAAAGGTCATAACAACCTGAGGATGGGTTTGCACACAAATTACCTTAGAATTATGCATGTTCATACCCTGTTGGGGAGGTGAAGGCTTTATAATTAGATTATGTATGAAGGTATAATTTACAAAAAACTATACTAAAACAATAAATGAACTGAGTTCTACTGAGGGAATCTTGACCTCCATATTTCCAAAAATCTGACAACAGATTTGAATAAAATAACCGCAACTGCAGTATAACCTATTTTATAAAGATATGGGCATTTACCAGGGAAGAAGGATTTAACAAAAGATGCTACTAAGTTACATTATGGAAAAAGTAGGATCCAGAATTGGACTTGATCTGTATGAGGGTTTAACGAGCAATTTAACACCCCACAGTGTTGTTTTTGTTGATCTCTATACTTCTCATCCACTGTTGAGTGGGTAAAGGTGCAAAAGAGCATGCTTCTGACCACACTCATGCACATCAATGAGTGATCCTATCAGTGGTCAGAGGTTCAACAGACTTAAAATGTGAACATCAGTGACTGAAACACTGTTTTTCAGCCTGGTGCTTCTGACAAGTTGGTTAATCTGTCTCTTGCAAGACCCTCAGCTGATTAAATTAGAGATAATGGCAAAATCTATTAAATTCGGTGAGACACAGAGAGATGTAGCCCTAGCAGTCAACTGATGTGAGTTTAGGTAGATCAGTGTAATAAAACGTGAATAGGTTCTTCAAAAATGGGCAAACACCCTTAATCTTTGTAATTATATAATTTTAGGGCACTGGTCCTCCTGGTCCTCCTGGTCCTCCTGGTTACCCAGGGTTACAAGGAGAAAAAGGTAAAGTGAGGCCATAGGATGCCACCACGTGTTCATCCTCTATGTGGACACAGACACATGCACACTTACCTAGGATCAGTTCACACAGTATGCATGTTTTTGTCTCACCTTTGGTTTGCTCTTAATCTACAGGATTTCCTGGTCCTCAGGGTGAACCAGGTCCACCAGGTAGACACAGAATTTCAATGTAACTTAAGAACACTGCATCAAGGCCCACTGTATCAGTCAGACAATATAAATAACCTGCTTTCTTCTTGTACTTCAGGCCGGTACATTGAAGGACCTCGTGGTGAGAAGGGTCAGAAGGGAGAAAGGGGTGAGAAAGGAGACAGGGGTATAGAAGGAGAGCATATTGTTGGACGTCCAGGAGAACCAGGGTTACCTGGACCCCCTGGGCCACCGGGACCCGAAGGCATGTCTCACATCCAAATAATACAGCCATTTGAGTAATTGAAGCAAAGAACACAGACACTGTGTGTATTTAGAGATGTTTAAATAACTCTAACTTGCTATTAACATCACCACACAGTTGATCCACGTGAATGTAATATCCAAAGAGGACCTCCTGGCCCACCTGGAGATCCAGGGTTACAAGGGGAATTGGGACAGAAAGGTAAAAGCGAACACAATTACTGCTGTTAACAAAAGCAGTGATACCTTTAGTGGACATGTTTACCACAGCTGATGTTAAACTGAAGATTCTGTATCTTTTGTTAGGTAACAAAGGAGATACCTGCATTAATTGCGATGGTTCTTCCATACCTGGATTACCTGGACCCCAGGGGATTAAAGGAGAGCGTGGTGAGTGAATGATTTGCACTTAAATGACATGGCCCAAAAACTGCTGGTGCTATGAGCTGAAGTTGCCATTTTTGCCAGACACTGCTGCAAAGTGTAATGTAGGTTTAAATATTTCATTGGCCTTCTGAGAGCTTCTGACCTCAGCTGTTTATAGTTCCAACTGTCTAAACACAGTCATTTGGTTTGTATCTTATTGACATGCACTGTAGTAAGTATTTGAATGAGCTAAGGATTTAAAATGTCCATTTTCACCTGGCAGGGCCTCCTGGGCAAGTAGGCAGCAAAGGCGAAAAGGGTCAAACTGGTCCTCCTGGACAACCTGGGAGATCTGTGAGTCAAATAATGTCTCTGACACTTGCAACAAGATCCAAGCTGAATGTTTTCACTGTTTCACTATTTCAGTTCACAATATATATGACTGACCTGTACACAGGGTGCCCAGGGCAATCCTGGTTTGATGGGAGCTCCTGGAGCTGTTGGTGAGCCTGGGGACATTATTGCAGCTCCTAATCTAAAGGGTGACAAAGGTTTTCCTGGTTCTTCTGGTTCACCGGGGAAACCAGGACTTGATGGACAGCCAGGGAGAGATGGCCTTCCGGGTTTTCCTGGTCCCAAAGGCGAACCAGTAAGTGCGTATGTGGTACTGTATGATGACAAGTTCTCAGGATACCAGGCCAGTATGAACTCCACTAATAATGCAAATGATTGAACTGCCTGTCAGATGATAGCATTATAAAAAACTAACAGGCTCTTAACTGTGTCAACCTTTTAAAACCCTTCACTGCAAGTGAGATAACCTTTACTTAAAGCTGCTTAATAATCTATACTCATTATATTAACAGGGGAAAAATGACTACAGAAATGTAAAAGCAGTTGCTCAAATGAATCAGTTCACAGATTATCATGTGACTTCACAGTCTCTCTCAGCTTAACACACAGTTTTTTAAAACATCTTTCTATTAATTATTTTGGTTTTAGAGCCAGCATCTTTTGTCTTTTTGCTCAGTCTTATCACTTTCATCAGCATAGTTTTCAAACAGACAAAGTTAGCGGCAAACTGATGAAAACAGCGGAGTATTTAGCAGCGAAAGAACCAAATATTTCCCTCAAAACAAAAGGAAAGTGAATGGCCTGAAACTTGATTTCAAATGAATGTTAATGTTGCTCCATATTTGCTTGATATGTAAATAAGAAACCTTATGCAAGTAAGAAGTCACATCAACTTTATGAGGATATACTGTATGTCAATCTAGCATTTACAACTTGTGCTGTTCCTATGTGGCTCAAAAATAATCCTTTTGAGATAAAGCAAAAAAAAAAAAGATAATTTTTGTTTGAGTTTCATTTGCATCCACTCTCACTGATTTAATCTATTTAAGTCATTGTGAAACTTTATTTAAAATAATAATAAAGTAGATCCTCTTTTTCTAATCTTGCTTTCAGGCCAAAGAGGGCATTAAGGGTGAGCGTGGACCAAGTGGGGATCCTGGTCATACTGGACCCCCGGGTGAGCGAGGCCTCCCTGGTCTGCCAGGCCATGGTCGACCAGGAGAGACTGGAGAGAAGGGCAGCCAAGGGAGACCTGGGACTCCTGGAGCTCCTGGACTACCAGGTAGGCATGAGATCTACACAGACAATGTAAAGACATGCACTCATATAGCCAAAGAGAAGTTAAATCAAACTTAATGGCACATCTGAAACTTGACAAGCATATACTGGCACTGTGCACAGACACACATACCATGTACATTCATTCCTTCATTAATAACATACTGTATAAATTGTGTCCAGGTGCAAAAGGTGAGCCAGGTGTAAGTATGAGCGCTCCTGGGCCTCAGGGTGTACCTGGACTAAGAGGAGAACCCGGCAGGCCTGGACCTCAAGGTGAGCAACATCATAGTCAGCATGTCGTCAGTTATACTTCCTGCACTAAAATCAATTTCATGGATCAGTGGACATGTCTTTGACCAAAAAACAAACAAACAAATAAAACCATATTATGGATCTTCGCATATATATGAGGATGTCTGGCAATTGACCCTGTTCACCATACAAATATGTTGATTGCTACAGGGGACAGAGGCCAGCCGGGAGACGAAGGGTTGCGGGGTCTCCCCGGACTGAAGGGCGAACATGGACTTCCTGGAATTGGATTTCCGGGCCCAACTGGTCCTAAAGGTATATTACTCTGTGTTGACCTCATTCTTCCTTTCCATGCCTCACAGATACTGTATTTAATAAATACTCAGAGATTCTTTAAAACAATGTAAACAGACTAAATATAATACAGTACATGTACAGAGACAGAACAAAACAGACATTAGATGAAATATCTGGTCCCTCTTTCCAGGAAACAGTGGAATTCCAGGAGCTCCGGGATTTCCAGGAGAGCCAGGGAGACCAGGACACAGTGGTTCGCCCGGACAACCTGGTTCACCTGGACAAAAAGTGTGTATTTGTCTGCATGTGTAGATCAACTGACATAGTGTCTCTGGAAAAGAGGCAACAAAGAATCTTAAGGATCTCTGTTTTGACCATAAAAAATGTGTAAACTTCTTACTTGCATTTGTCCTACAGCTCCATTGTCATATGGTAATCCAACAACCACAGCAATGGCACCAACTTTTATATGAACAATTGATGGTTTGAGTGTCCGGAGCAAAACCACATGCAATGACATGCAAACCATGGTTACACTTATGCTTTACAGGGTGAACCAGGACGAGGTCTTCCTGGCCCAAAAGGCTCACAAGGCCTCCCAGGAAGTACTGGCCTCCAAGGGGAGAAGGGTAGCATTGGACTACCTGGGATTCCTGGACAGGAAGGCAAGACAGGACTACCAGGACCTCAGGGAATCAAAGGTATTGCAGGATTGCTAAAACAACTCTGGTGTGACTCCTGGGTTGATTTAGTCAGTGCCATATAGTTAAAGGCCAATCTTCTGTAGCAAACTCAACATTGTTTCTCTTTGGTCTTTAAAATTAGGTGAAGTGGGACCCCCAGGGCCTCCTGGACAAGCTGGCATACCAGGTGCTCCAGGAAAAGGCTTGCCTGGACCACAAGGCCCACAAGGACGACAAGGAGAGCCTGGACCACACGGTGAGCCCAAATGTAGCACTCAAACATAAGCAGACATGGTAGCTGTCAATTTGCAGAATACATGCAACCATATACAGAAGCATTTGCTTTTTAGCATTCAGACACAGAGCTGCTGTGCACAAAATTCCCAGCAAGGTTTTGTTCAAACATAGCAGGACGTAGCTGGGTACAGCCAAAATGTTCCCACAATATGTGAAGCAGACACATAACAATGCCGTTTACTGTTTTTTGTTAGTAATTTCTTCCTCTGCACAGAGGATAAGCAGTTTTTTGATATCCATATCGGACTAATTTCCAGCCATTCTTCATTAGCTCACACTGCTTACTGGCAATTTCACCACTTCAATTCAGACATGTAGCCAGTAAGAAAGCAAGCAGTTATTTGACTAGGTCCTACCAGAAAAAAATTGCTGTCAACACTGCTGGCTACATGACATGAGGTTTTGTTCAGATATGATGCCTAGATGTGAAGTAGCAAGCAAATTCCCGGAATGGAAAGAATGTCTGAAAAGAGTTATGTAGACCTTTTTCACTGAATGCACATGTGTCAGTAGGTAATGCACAGTTTTAGATAAGATGAATAAGCTTCTTCAGCTGCTTCAGTTCCAGGTCATGGTATTGTGCATGCTTGGGCCCTTGAAAAGACACTATGTAATGTAACATTACAGTGGCTCTATAACTGTAATTTTCCAATTAGTACAAGACAAAATGTCTGCTGTCAGATTGTGCTACATTCTCTTAATTTCCTTTACCTGACTCTTAAGTTGGTGTTGTATGTGTGCATGTTGAGCAGGTAGGGAAGGTGTAAAAGGAGAAAAAGGCTACCCTGGTGCTCCTGGTCTGGACATGCCAGGGCCTCCTGGAGAAAAAGGAGCCCCTGGGTTCCCAGGAGCCCCGGGCTCTAAAGGACAACCAGGGCCTTCAGGCCTACCAGGCAGGGATGGACCATCTGGAAACCAAGGTGAGATGGACAAACTGGAAAGATATTCACAAAAAAGAAAATTCAAATTAAAACTTTTTCACTGTCTTTTGCTGTTTTTTTTTTTGTTTGTTTTGCTATTGTTACAATTCTGCAGTATTAATTCATTAAGTAGTCATGTCATCAGTGTAGCCAATGCCATTTTTACCATATTATTGCTTACCTCAGGTAATTTAAATATACTTTTTTTTGGCTATTAAGCTAATTTTAATGAAACTAAACACTTCCTGTAGATGTTTCACATTAAAAGCCTGATGAATAGAGTGAAACATTGTTTATTAATAAATATTATAACCTAAGCAAAACAGTGTGCAGGACTTTCTTTCTTTTTTTGAGTAGTTACTCCTCTGATGCACCTGCTGAAAATTCAGGCATGCTGAGATATTTTCTGATATTTAAAGCCTTCAGAGTAAGAGTGGGATTAGTTCCTTTGAGCTGCTGGAAGGTTTTTAATGTGAAACATCTGTACGGTGTCACACTCGGCGTGTAAAGCTGCCGATGATGTCGAGGGTGAACTCAATTAGAAGGCCAGACGAGTAAAAGCAGAACACTGTCTCTTTAATCACACCACTGGTCAAAAACAAATGATACACAGTGCAGGAGTTTGATTCAACATGTAATGCTCTCAGAGGGTCAGAGCCAGCAAACTCACACATCCAAGGTATCCACAAGAAGAACGGTCAATAAGGGAAGTCCAAAAGTTGATGCACAGAATACAAACAGAATCAGAAGGGTTAGGCAGTACTCAGCGGTCACAAGGCAATCCGGGGTCAGAGCTGGAATAACAGGCACAAGAAAAACCACTGTAAAGTCTGAACATGGGTTAGAATAATCTGGCAGCTTCCTGGTGGGAGGAAGCTTCCTATAAAGGGGTGTCAACAGATGCAGATCATTACTACTGATTATAGTAAAAAGTCCATAGCTGAGGTGAGACTGTAGACCGGAAGTGGTGTCAGAATAAAAGCATGATACCGGTAGCAGAAGAGACAAAATCATGACAGTGCAGAAAGTGTTGAGCTTCAAGCTGTTTGTCTTTGGGTTCATTTTTTGAATGAAAAATTATTGTTAAAATGGCAAGTGAGTGGGACACAACTTTGATCTAATATAGGCCTGTTTTAAGGGAAAACATCATCCTTTCTGTAGTTGAGGTACTATTTGAGGACTTATGTCTTATTATTTGCCTTCTCACTACATACATTACTCTTACTACTAAGTGGCAGTACTGGATAAGTACTGAGTATTCCTCCTACATTGCAGTTTTTAAAAGAAGAATGAGCAGGATTCACATATTAAATGAAAAATGTACAACAAAGTTTGCATTGGCTTTATTTTTAGGTAACTTACTCCCACTGACCTATTTACATGAAGTGGGCTTTTTTTTCCAGGTCTAAAAGGTGAAATGGGGGTCATTGGGACACCAGGGCTCAAAGGATTTCCTGGAGAAGCTGGTAAACCTGGATCTCCTGGTCAGCAAGGTGAGGAAGAACAAATTCTGAAGTCTTCCACTTTTCTTTTTTCACGTCTCTCATCAGAAAATACAATTTCTCTTTCCCACCATTCCTTTCAGGTGACCCTGGTATTACTGGGCTAAGAGGTAGTACTGGAGAACGTGGATTTAAAGGAGAGCGGGGAGAACAAGGTCTTCAGGGACCTCCTGGGAACATGACCGATGTTGACATGGCGCACATAAAAGGGGAGAAGGGAGTCAAAGGAGACATAGGTATAAACCAACACTAATGGCCTTTTGCTCAATAGAGGTATATTCATCATATTGTATGGAGCTTTGCTAGAAACAGGCTCATGGATGATTCTGTATTTTGACCAGGAGTTTAAGACACATTCCAATACCCTTATGTCTTTGTTTTTAATTCCATTTTTCTATCAGGTACCACTGGGATGCCTGGAGCGACAGGTCACACTGGAAGTCCTGGAGATCCTGGACGGGCAGGAAACCCTGGATTGCCTGGAGCACCTGGACAACCAGGTGACCTACCTGACCACATGAACAAAGTTCTAAAATGCATTTAAAAAGTTATACAATATTTTAAACTATCATGTGATTATTTCTGTTTATCATCATTTTAACTCTTATTTGGCAAATTCTCTGCTTTTGCTTCATCACCAAATGAAACTGAAGTGAAAGTAAATATTACTTCTTCTTCAATCTCACTGATGTGTCTCAGGTGGGAAAGGACACCCTGGAGATCGTGGAGTGCCTGGCATTCAGGGGCCCACTGGAGATAAGGGCAGTGTAGGAGAGATGGGAATACCAGGTAAATACACCCAAATAACCTAAACGTCACCCTACAGCAATCTAATATGTCTCAGATGTCATGGAAATATCAACCATTTGTCAGATTTGGCGTGTAAGGACGCCAAACGGTGTTAGTGGTGGACTCAATTATAAAACCAGACGAACTGATTTAGCGAAAGGTTTTTACTTGTTGTAACTAGACAACCAATACACAGTCCAGGATAAACAATCAGGTCGATAAGACAGTCCAGGGTCAGCGCCGGTAAACAGGTATAGCCAGGAGATCCAAACTCGAGAGGTCAAGGGGAATAACTCAGAAGGTCAGTACACTGAGCAGGGAGCAGGGGGCCAGGAAGGAGGGCACAAACACAACAGAAAACCCCCCTCACATGGCGGTCCCACAACTACCCCCAGGCTGGAGAGTCAGAGCTGGAGTCTAGAACAATCTGGCAGCGTCCTAGTGGGAGGACGCTGCCTAAATACAGGAGAAAAAACAGGTGTAAACAATAAGGAGCAGGTGAAACTAATGCGAGTGATGAAGAGTGACCAAAACTGTTGTGAAACAAAACAGGAAGTGGCATCAAAATAAAAGCCTGACAGGAAGCAGTGGCACCGAATCCTGACACCATTCTGATCATGTGTATGTGTGCAAGCATTTATATGCCTTAAACATATAACCATAAACAGCTATACAGAGAATTTTTCAAGCATTAATATTTGTGTGAAACATAGTTTTCCCCGCTAGAGGAAACAAAACACTGGACCACTATTCCAGTAACATTAGAAATGCTTTCTCAGCAGAACCTAAGCTCATTTTGGTAAATCTGACAATTTAGCAATTTGGCTCAGGCCAGTTTACGCCAGATGGCTCAAAGCGAAACCAGTCACAATGAGAAGTGTTAACACTTGGACTGACGGTGCACAGGTCAGCCTGCAGGGCTATCTAGAGGCCACAGACCGGAACGTCTTCAAAAGGGCCACAGACAATATTCATGAATATGCAGAGACTGCGAGTGATTACATCAGCTGGTGCATGTCCATATGTGCCCCACCTGGAACTGTGCGTGTCTTCCCTAACCAAAAACCCTGCTTCAATATGGACATAAAACAGAAAATAAGGAAAAGGCAGGAAGCTTTCAAGGCAGGGGACCAAGGGGAGTACAGGAGAGCCTGGTACGAGCTAGAGAGGTCCATCAGACCTGCAAAGAGGGCATGCTTCCAAAAACTGGAGAGCTGTTACCTGAATAACAACATGCGCAGCATGTGCCAGGGAATCCAGGCAGTCGCAAACTACAGGAACAAACCAACGATCACCATTTCCCATGACGTCACCCTCCCGGACAGCCTTAATAACTTCTATGCTAGGTTTGACAGGCTGAACACGGATACCCCCTCACAATCCCCCTGCGACCTGGGGGACACTGCTTATTAGGTAACGCACACACAAGTTCTGAAGGCCCTGAAACAGGTGAATCCCCATAAAGCTGCAGGACCAGATGGTGTCTCCCCTAGAGTTCTGAAAGCCTGCGGGGATGAACTAGTTAGTGTGTACGCAGACATCTTCAGCCTGTCTTTAACCCAAGCAGTAGTCCTTCACATTTTCAAAAAATCCATCATCGTACCGGTCCCTAAGAGATCAGACACATCCACTCTGAATGACTTTGTAATTGGATTCTGGACTTCCTGATTGAAAGACCACAGGTGGTCAGAATGGGTGGGCAGGTGTCTGCTGAGCTCACAATCAGCACAGGCTCACCACAGGGCTGCTGTCTCAGCCCCAAACTCTTCACCTGGTACAGTCACTGTGTCTCCAACCAGGACAACACCACCATCATTAAATATGCTGATGACACCACCATCCTGGGCCTCGTCAAGGGGGGGATGATTCGGGTTATAGAAGCTTGGTGAACAACATTCTTGTTTATGGAGAGGAGAATGACCTCAGTCTCAATATATAAACCAGACAAAATAAATAATAGTAGACTTCAGGAAGAACCTCTCCCCTCTGCTGCCTCTGACTCTCAAAGGGACTGAGGTGGAGAGGGCTGACAGCTACAAGTTACTGGGCTTGCATGTGACACCTGACCTGAGCTGGACATGGAACACAGCTGCCACAGTGGAGAAAGCCCAGCAGCAGCTATATTTCATCAGGCAGTTCAGGAAAGCTGGTCTGAACTGTCGCCCCCTCACCCAGGCTTACAGAGGACTGGTAGAGAGTGTCCTCACCACTGGCATCACAGTTTTGTATGGTAACACCACACAGGCAGAGAGGAAGGCTCTTCAAAGGGTCATAAAGACTGCAGAGGGGATCATTGGGACTGAACTGGCTGCTATGGACACAATATACACACAGTGCTGCCGCTAAAGAGCAGAGAACATAGTTAGAGACCCACTTCACCCAGCTCACACTCTGCTCAAGACACAAAAACTGCACCCACAGCCTCAGGCACGGGAGAGCGGACAGTATCATCCCACACAGACCAAGATTTTACAACAACTTTTCCCTGCCACAGTAAGACTGATGGCAAATACAAAATGTGAAAAACCTGTGCAATAACCCCTCATTACCCTACTAAGTAGAATACCATATACAATTCCACTAGGTGCAATACCATGTGTAATATTTGAAACTCCCCATTTTACCTGCTACCCTATTCCTGTATCTACAATTTTATGAATTATTTTGTATTCTTGGATATTGGTGTTTTTTGTATTTTGTATTCTTTTGTATTCTTGGGTAATCTTATATTTAGACTAGGTGTTCGTTGTTTTGGCTTTAAACTCTACTTGACTCCAGGAGAGCCCTGCACACGAATTCCTTTATGCCTAGACTTTCTGTTTATGCATAAATGGCAAATAAAAATCTTGAATCTTGAATACAACTTTTTTATCTGCATTATGTTTGTTTGGATGCATGTTCACGTAGGTGCGGTTGGTTCGAAGGGTACTAAAGGTGATATTGGTACACCGGGGCATCCTGGATTCAAAGGCACAGATGGACCAAAAGGAGACATAGGAGCACCTGGTGAACCAGGCATTGGATTTCCAGGACATCCAGGAGAAAAGGTAACTCCCTGCAAGTGTGACTGCTCAACTTCTGTGTGCTGTAAACTGGCAGCTGAAGCACATGAAGGTTTGAATCAGCATGAATGCTTCCAGTAAAATCATTGGTACTAAAAATCAGGCACTACCATTTTAAATGTGTTGATCTGCAGGCTCTCCTTACATATGTCTGTCTTGGGGGATCCTCTACACAGACAAGTCTCTGCTACCACCACAAATTTCTAATGTAACAAAACCTGCAGACAAACTTAAAATATATTTACTTAGCATTCTACTCAATTCCTTTACTTTCACAGGGTCAGAAAGGCCATCCAGGATTCCCAGGTCAACCAGGAGAGAGGGGTCTGAAGGGTCAAGAGGGTATGCCTGGCAAACCAGGGCTGCAAGGACCCAAAGGAGATAAAGGAACTGTCGGGTATCCAGGTGGGATTTCAGGCTTTGCCGTCACATTCATCCTGTTTGTCTGGCAGAAAACTAGGTATAATCATACATTTTTTTTATTCTATGTGAGTTCTTATTTTGGTGTGTGTGTATGTGTGTGTTCTACAGGTCAGGAAGGGAGACCAGGTGAGAAGGGTAGCCCTGGGCTTCCTGGCTCTCCAGGAGAACCTGGTCGTGAAGGTCGCCCTGGTAAGTAACAGGATTAAATACCTACCTAACCAGACCAAGGTCAACAATATTTGTTCAAGGTTTTCATACACCATTAACTTCACTGTAAGGTGAGATTTTGTTTGAACAGTTCAGTCTGAGGAATTACTGAAATCCATAGTAATCAGTGAGACAGTATGGTGGTATTGACAATTACTGCACCTCTCAAATCTTGCACACTTTGGCAAATGTTTATACTAGCCACTGTACATATAAAAGAAATCATCATTGTGCAGTTCCTTGGACTTTTACTCACATCAAATGTATTCAGAAACCCATTTCTGTGGACAGATTAGGGGAAGCTTTCAAGATCAGCTGCCATGTTTTTTGGCAAAGTGACAGTGACAGCACAGGTAACGGTGTGCTTATCAAATCAGATGAAAAGATTCACACACCTGTCCCAGGCAACTGTCTATTTAGTCTTGCTAGAAATCAATGAGTGAAGCGAAATTTGTACCTGTTCAGCCTAATAAGTGTGTAAATGTGTTCTCGTCCAGGTGAAGGAGGTTTCCAGGGACCTCCTGGTCCTCCTGGAGAGAAGGGAGACAGTGGAATAGATGGCATCCCTGGATCTACAGGAGAGAGAGGAGAACCAGGTTAGTAACAGAGGAGGTAGGAGGAGACCATGCTACAAGAATTTACTCATTGCTAAGCAGTTACAATATAATAAATCTCTCAGCCTGATATATCCTACAAGGTCACTCTGGCAGGGGTTTTTGAATACAAATACTGGAAGACACAAACTCCTGAGTAGTCACATATCACCCATCAGCCACAGCCAGGGGTTCAGGCAGAAATGCTTTCTCCAAATAAAGTGACAAATGGAGATCGTTGTATTGAATGTACTTTAGTTTTTCTTCAGACAGCCCTAACATCTGCAGACCTCTCAATACAAATCAGAACAAAAGAGAAACTGTCTGTAATGTTTTCTTTTTTTAACCCATCATTCTCTGCAGGTTTACCTGGCCGAGGTTTCCCTGGATCCCCTGGAGTGCTGGGTAGCAAAGGTAAGAGCTCCTCCATCGTTGCTGTCTGGAACCCCTCGATCACTGTAGCTAAACATAGTATCATTATTCGGCCTTCTCTTTGCTCCTCCAGGTGATAAAGGTAGTCCTGGCTTCCCCGGCACTGCAGGTCAGCCAGGTGTCCCTGGTATCAAAGGCGACAAGGGTCTCCCAGGCCCACAGGGAGTACCGGGTGATCCAGGAGAGAGGGGACTCCCAGGTCTCTCTCTACCGGGCCCTAAGGGAGACAGGGGACAAGCAGGACAACCCGGAGAAACAGGTATTGAGAAATACATGGCATACTAACAATTTATTATGTCCATGAAGACTTGTTTCCAAAGTATTGTGCAGTATAAAGCTGCTATCACAACTGAAAAATGTAAAAATACCGTATACACTGTGCATTTAAAAAATCTCCTCACCTTGTTCTTGTCTTTGTGAAACAGGATCTCCAGGAGCACCAGGAATCCCTGGTGTGCCAGGCAGAGATGGTCAAAGAGGAGACAAAGGAGATCAAGGTCTCCCTGGTTATCAGGGAGAGACAGGACAAAAGGGTGACCCTGGAAGTCCTGGACAACCTGTATGTCACAGTGCTGTTGGCTGACTTTTTTTTCTAACTACACAAGTCACAAAATAGTTAAGGTGCAGTTTGATGAGAGATAGCTGATACATGGACAGTGCAGAGCAATTTTAATGTTGCAAAAGTTGTTATTCTTTTGATTGGTTTGTGTGTCTGTCTGTTACAGGGGCAAACTGGCCTTCCAGGTATTGATGGACATAAGGGAGAGAGGGGGCAACAGGGTGTCCAAGGCTTCCCAGGTGAGTACATATGAGTTATACATCTGTGAAGGTATGCATTGTGCATTTATATGTGAAAGATGTGTTAAGCATTTATAAAAGGAAAAAATCAATATGTCTTTTTTCAGATAATAAACAGATAAAATACACTAATCATAAATATCAACTCTAGGTGCAAAGGGTGGTGCTGGAGACACTGGATTTAAAGGAGAGCTTGGAGACAGAGGATTCCCAGGAGAAAAGGGTAATAAATGATCTAAAAGCCATCAGTATGTAAATGGAAACTATCACTATTTCCCCACACTGGAATTGTTACATTCTGTTACTCTGTTGAGACTTTTTCAGATCTTACTTGATGATCATTAACTGCTAAAGATAAGCATGAGTAATGGAATATCTTCTAATGATACTGTATATTTCAGGTAATGAAGGCCCTCCTGGTCCCCCTGGTCCCCACACTTACATCAAAGGTGATATTGGGTTGCCAGGAATTCAAGGCCCTCAAGGAATTCAGGGACCACCTGGATTTCCTGGACAGAAAGGACAGCAAGGTGGCGTTTTGATGAGAAATACACCCTTTCATATAATCCTTTACAATACAACAGATTTCTCCTGCTCACCAGTGCTCTGCATCCATATTTCTTATTGCTTCATCATATCTGTTATTTTTTCTCAGGTGTGACAGGTATTCCAGGGCCTAAAGGTGAAGATGGATACCCTGGGTATCATGGTCAGCCTGGAGCCAAAGGAGAGCCTGGCCTGCCCGGGCCACAAGGTTAGAGATGAAGGTGTTGGTAAGACTTGTTGTGTTGCCACTTTCACAACTTAATTACTCTTTGTCTTTAGGACCAAGAGGACATGCTGGCCCACCTGGACCTGATGGTGTTCCAGGACGAGTCGGCCCACCTGGCCCCTCTTCCATGGATCACGGGTTCCTCGTAACCCGTCACAGTCAAAATGTGGAGGTTCCACAGTGTCCTGATGGAACCTCACTCATTTATGATGGCTACTCCTTGCTCTACGTACAAGGAAATGAACGCTCTCATGGGCAGGACCTAGGTGAGAAACAGAACAAATAAAATGAAAGAATAAAAGAAAAACATGAGATAGAGAATAAACATCTCTTGTGCCTCTGTGTTTTAGGCACGGCAGGCAGCTGTCTAAGGAAGTTCAGCCCCATGCCTTTCCTGTTTTGCAACATCAACAATGTGTGTAACTTTGCATCTCGTAATGACTATTCCTACTGGCTCACTTCTCCTGAGCCTATGCCCATGACCATGGCACCTGTCACTGGTGAAAGCATCAAACCCTTCATCAGCAGGTATGTCAGCATATACCTGTACATCTATAGCATTTTGTTTTGGGTGTATGATACTCATATACTTCTCATGAATGTGTGTGTGTGTTTGTGTGTGTACAGGTGTGCTGTGTGTGAGGCCCCAGCCATGGTGATAGCAGTTCACAGTCAGACCATCATGATCCCTCCATGCCCTCACGGTTGGGACTCTCTGTGGATTGGCTACTCCTTTGTCATGGTAAGACAAACAAAATCATGTCTCAGTGCAAGTAAACTGTCTGCCACCATGTACCAGCTATGCCCATGTTGTCATGACTCCCACTAAAGTTAGATCTGATGGAAAAGGCTCTGCTCTATGACGGCATACTCAAAAATATCTAAGCCTGAACAAGATACAAGAACATTAGGTCTTATACCAAAAAACTGGACATAAAGGGGAGTTTAAGGTGCTAGAGCAGACATGGATATGATTGGACATTACTAGTCAGCTGATATCTAAACAGCTGGTGAATCAGCCAATGATTGTGAAGCATAAATGACACAGATGATGCCAATCAGCCAAGGCAAGTGCAACTACAATTCTCTGATTATTAAACACAATTCTCGGTTATTATGCTGACCACATGTTTGTCTATGCACAACATTAAGTTGAATTCTTTGGGTACTTGTATATACCTTTTGATATGTACAGTTTTGTTCATTTTTGTGGAATAAAAATCCAACAACAGCTCTCTTACAGATTATGTTATAGCAAATTCTTCATTTCATTCAATTACTTTGTGTTTGTGTAGCACACCAGCGCCGGTGCTGAGGGCTCAGGCCAGGCTCTAGCCTCTCCTGGTTCTTGCTTGGAGGAATTCCGTAGCGCTCCATTCATCGAGTGCCACGGTCGTGGAACCTGCAACTATTATGCCAACTCCTACAGCTTCTGGCTTGCCACCATCGAAGACAATGAGATGTTTAAGTAAGACAGACTCTCCCCTGGTTCTTGTTAAAGAATAGCTAAGCACCTTGTGAAAATCTTACTTTTGCTGACCTCCGATGGTTTAACTTCTTACCTCAGTGCAGTGATGTACAGATGTTCTCCAAGACATCATTACATCAGTGTTGGGTGTGGTTACAGGTCCAGTATGGCACTCTTCTAACTACACCCAACAGCACCCTGCAGTGATCATGGGCAGTGGACATAGGCAAAAGGGCTTGAAACCTTAAACCATAGAAGGCAGTGAAACAACTTTTAGCCTGGTGTTATGTTGCTCTTTTAGTTTTTGCCATCATCACATTTCCTCCACGTTTACATTATGAGCTTGTTAATATTCAATGCACTTATATTTTTCTCCTTCCAGGAAACCTGTTCCAACAACGCTAAAAGCAGGCAATCTCCGAACACACATAAGCCGCTGTCAGGTGTGCATGAAGAGGACATAAACCACAACACCGGGGTTCTCCTTCCTAATATGCAAGGAAACTGCATGCTCTGATGTCCTCGACATTGCTTTACTTCCTGTTTCCAAAGGATGGTGCTACTTCCCTGCATGTGTGAGAGGACAGAACACAGAGACCTTTTACTCCATGCAGAATGCAAAACTAACAAGATCACAACGTCTCTAAAAGAATGGCACCCAATTTACCGTTGCACTGAGTACATGCCCCTTAATCTGGTAAACTGGTGTTCATTTTCAAAGGGTTGTTTTCTGTAAGTCAGGTGCTATTGAATTTACTTATCTGCCTTATTCCATCTTGTTTGCTTTACTTCCCTTACCTACGAGTGCCACAGCATTCAAAGATATAGCTACATTAATATTACAGATTTTCACACTTTATAACTTGTACTAATGTAAAGAATGGGACTTACCACTGGTTACAGAAACTTGTCATTTGTTCAATCACAGTATGTTGCCAACATACGGTAGATATATAACAGTCGCTCTGTTGTAAATAATATGCATTCCTCTCTAACACAGATCAGCATACTCTCCTCAGGTTATTACTGTATTACTTATTAGGTCCATTTTTTATTTATAAGGTTTATAAGAACATGCAGATTTGAGTGTTTCTGAGATTTCACTGATCCAAAAACAACATTTCAACATCTGTCAACCAGTGCCTTATTGACATACAAAACAGCACTGATTTAGCATTAGCAAGTGTGTGCTATGTTGTGTGGTTATGTGTGTGAGTGTACATATATGAGTGCTTTTGAGCTGCTTGGAATGGTGTGTGTGTGTGTGTGTGTGTGTCTGTGTGTTGTGAAATCTGCATATATATTGGTGCACAGCCCTTTTGCTGACATATTCCAAAACAAATAGAAATCAACACAAAAAAGAAAATCACATTTCCTATAGTTTTACTCTCTCAGAACAGTATAACAGGTATGAGTCCTCTCATATTAAATGAACCAAAGCCTTATAATCATCGAGCCCAAAGAAATGCACATGTATATGCACTTGCTTGCTATTCTGCTCATGTACTTGACTGTTACTGTTCATGAATTACCTTAGTTATCCCTTTATGCAAATTAAGGCACAAACATACAGATGTCAGGATTGTATTTATAAGTGTCTCTGGAAGATGTTTTTAAAGGTTCTAACAGATTTGTATTTTCTCTATCCCATAACACACAGCATTTTGAGATATATTCATGTCATGTGGACCCCAAACATAATTTGAATGTCCTAATCAGAGCAATTCAAGGATGCAAGTTTTCTGCTATTAAAGTTCTAAAAATTACTGTACACAGGCCATAACCTGTTTCTATTTGTGTGTTGTGATCATATATTCCATGAAGTACATACACTATTAGCAGCATTTGCCATTATAAAACAAAGTTGATTACAACAGGATGGATCTTAACTGATTAACAAGCAGAACAGAACATATATCATTTTATGTTTTCCAGTTTCCAAACTGTGTAATTCCTGCAATAAAGTGATTTGTAGAATATTCTTATGAATTAATTTCTTATGGGTGATTTTTTTTTTTTTGGTTTGTTTTGTCTGTTTCTGTATATCTGAAGGATTCTAATACAGTACTTTATGAATGCCACAAGAAGGCAGCACAGTACAATTTCTAAGTATGCTGCTGATGGTTCATGATATAAAAGCTTTCAATTTGCCTGGTTTATCAGCTCACGGTGTTTTTTTTTTATGTTTGTTTGTTTGTTTTTGGTTTTTTTTGCTGTCATTGGCTGTTATTCCATGAACAAGCGCTCACCTCAAATCTATCTTGAACCCTAATTTAAGTGCAGCCTCTGCGCCAACAGTTCCACAGTGCAGTGCAGCCACTACCTCAGCACTTCTGCCGGGACATTGGCCAACAAACCTGTTCACCCCACGAAAACACAAACAGATCGATATGATCCGCAGAGAACCAGATAACCCCTGCTTTCATCTCAATTCTCGTCTTTCATCTATTACCAGAATCCTACCCCTTGTTTCCTCTCCTGTCACCAGACAGAGCAACACAGGCCTTGGCCTCTGGCTGTCTTCACAAACATGTCCAGCAAAGCCATGACCCCTGACTGGCAAATCACTGCGGTGGGAGTCGCACTGGATGACGTAGAAGGCCAAGTGGTCAAATGACCACGATTAAGTCTGCAATTAGGACAAAGGCTACATTCACAGATAAGTGGCTGAAAACAGTTCTTCTGTCTATATAAATATGTATTGTGATATGATTGCCCTGACATATTTAGTTTAAAAAACTAAACAGTACTTATTTTGTACCAGATTTTATAGCTGCATTTACCAAAATTACAATCCTGGTTATTGTTATCTGGTGTACAAACATGCATCAGTCAGTTTGTTAGCAGGTTATGTATCAAATTATTTTAAACATTTAATTATTGGATATTCATATTGATATTTCATGCAGGACTTTGGTCTGAAATGCTTCAGTTAAACAAAACAGATAAAGCAATAAATTAATGAATTATGAAGTTTTGTGGTAGTAAGGATGAAAGAAAATGACAAACCCTAAATTAACAAATGTAGTCAACTAAATTTGTTCTAATGTTATTAAAAAAAGTAGGAAAACTTCAACTACTGAAAATACTGTTTTCAGTTGAACATACAAATATTTAGTTTTAATAGTATAAAAGTTAGTTAGCTTTCTAATTTAGTCATGTAAAAGTCAATATTTAATCATTCTAAAACCTTCATGTAAATGCTTGTATGTACATATGTTTTTGAAGCATATAAGGAACTGCAATTCATACACAAATACTATGTGCACACAACATCAATGCCATGTGTTTAGAGTCTGCACTCAGCCTTGCTCAGGGGCTTTAGGATTCAATATTGAAGAGCTGGGCAGAGCATGGTGGAGCAGAGCAGATCTGAGTAGAGCATAGTGGAGCATAGAGGAGCAGGGAGAGGGAGGGCTGGGTGGAGCAGAGTGGATTGATCTGGAGGTTCATGCTAGTGCTACCTTAAGTTACAGTAGTACTGTAGTTTTAAGTACTGGCTTTGACCCTTGCTTAAATGTGAAAAAAGTATGGTAATATATGTTAAGCCGATAATGAGAGCCTGTAATGTTTTCCAGAACAATACAATTTGGGACTATGAGCCTGATCTTTCTCCTGAGTGGATCAAGTGCCACCACAACATCTTTTTGAACAGGACCAGGTGGGAAAGGCAAGGAGCAATAAGAAACAGCTCGTGGTATCAGCTTGTTTTGAGTCTAACTAGACCCTGAATAGAGTTAGGTAGAGTAACTTTAAAAGCTGAACTTCAGAGTGTTTCCGATGTTAATGTGGCTGTAGGCTCTGTGGCACCTCAGCTGCAAACACTTATCGTACTCACATATGCCACTGCAGAGTCAGTTTTAATTTAATTTAATTCAGTGGCTTTTGTCTTGTTACTACAGGTGCGTTTAACAACTTTAGATTGGCAGTACTTCTACACAAGTCTTATAAAAGACATTTGACTTTTTCATTTTTCCAAAATGTTATTGTGTTTGGTCTTTGTTAAAAGCCCCTGCACAGCCACACAGATTGCACTGGTGTTTGGCACTGAGCAGACATAAAGAAGTATTAATATTTCAGTCCTCTGAAATATCTTGCTTCTCTCCTTATTTTGACCATGCATGTTTTAAACAGTCTGCAAAAGGCAAGACAGCTGAGTTAAAAAAATTCAACTATAAAATAAAATAATCTCAATACTGTTGGGCTGTGGAAGACATGTATATGTTTCCTCAGCCGCGTGTCTTTTTCCTTTATGCTTTTTCATTGCTTTGGTTTAGATATGTTTTTGATGTTACCTAAGATTATAGGCTCAAATGTGACAAATTCTATTAAACAACAGGCTGTAAAAGATAAAACATAAGAACCAATGCTTCAGATGCTGGACATGCTGGGACTGAGCACTCATGCTTCTCTGACACCTTCTGCACTGCTGTCTGGACAACACAAAGTCTTAGTGGCAACATTACAGAACAGCCAATTGTCCCACTGTCTGTTTTATTGCTTCCTTTGAGAACAATCTGTTTTTAAAAACATGCATTTACAGTCTCAGCATATGGAGACACACTGCCGCTTTAAAATCTTTTAGACATGTATTTAAATTATTTATCTCACTAACTGCCTTTTATTTTATTGCACTGTTAATTATCAACTGTTTTCTTTCTTTTGTTATTGTGAATTGCTATTTTGACTGGTGAAATGCAAAACAAAACCTAAAAGACTAGATTTGTCCCTCTGCAGCTCCACTATTAACTCTGGCATACAGACTGGTACTAGTAGCATTCATCCCTGTGTCCTCCACCATTTGTTGTATGAGAAAATGATCTTGGTGCCACTCCAGGTCCATAGTGGATCTCTTAAAGGATAAGGCCAGTCATTTTCTCTATTATCAGTATTTTCAGTAATCTTTATGCAAAGACTAAAACCGACAATTAATTGCCTTTGCTCATAGTTAAGGTCTGTCAGTGTGTCAGGTCTGAATTATCTTATTCCTCTGAGCCATAAACCGCTGTTGTTGTTCAAAAACAATTAAAAACACATTAGTGAAACACACCACTTTATTGGGTGACATGTTTCTGCATTAGCAAACCCTAGGCCTGAGAGTGAGGAGCTAGCCAACTGTTAACAAAGCAGAGGGCTTGCGCATGTGCAGCATTGACTCTTGCTAACTTCAGGAAATTATGGCTGCTCGGAGCCTTTGGGACAACATAGTCGGGTCTGTCACACAGATGAACAAGCTAGTCTGTCGGTCTTGACTGATTGCTATAAATACTATAAATATAATACTATATATGTATTTTGGGGGGCGACTGTGGTTCAATGGGTAGAGCAGTCGCCTCCCAACTGGAGATTCGGATCTCAGTGCTTGCAGTCCACATGTTGAAGTACCCTTGGGCAAGACTGAACCCCCAAGTTGCCCCCGAAGGTCAGAGAGACCAGAAACCAATTCCTTGTGTGTAAATACTTGGCCAAATAAAGGTGATTATCCTTATCTTTAAAAAAGGATTGACCCTACCATTTAAGCTTACAAGTCTTCCACTCAGTGGAACAAGCACAAGTCTGACAGTTATAAACATAGGCATACTTTTAGGTGG